ATACAGGAGGCACAGGGCTAGTAGACAAGACTAAAAATCAAATAAAAATCTGCCTTTTAAAGATGTGATGGGACTCTCTCAATTAGGGTCTGTGAGGAATCTGTTTTTGGGGTGGAAATCTGTTGCATTCCCTGGGCTCTGCTCTCTGGACTGAGAGAGAGTCTGAGTTACTAGTGAGTCTGAGTTACTAGTGAGCGCACCCAACATTCATGTGGCAGCATTCCTCCTCTGCATCATGTTTGTTTTTTGCATGTGATGCAGGAGGTGGTTCCCAGTTGTGCAACCTTTATTCCATGAGTGCTTGCAGACTTCCTGTACGCTCAGCTTTCTTTCTAAGGCAGGGCTGAGCAAGAGAGTAACTCCACAAACATTAGAGGGATAAGCTGCATAGAGCTTTATCACATCCCTACTCTCAATAGCTCCCTTCTGTGTGAAAGTATTTACTTCTGTGAGGACAGATGAAAGAGAAAGGTGATGGAAGAACAGGAGGACATCGAACTTGATCCAAGCTGCAGAGCGAGGAATGTGGATAGGCAAAGTCTGAAGGCAGGGTGGCAGGAAGGAGGATGAACAGGTGGGGAATCAAAGGCATTATTGCTTGACAGTTCATTCTTCTTAAGGCCGTTGCAAAAATGTGTGGAAAAGAAATGGCTTCTCATCAATGAAGCAGCAGATGGACAAGATGTGGTGGGCAGAGGGCAAATTGTTTAGTCCAATGACTATTCATATGCATGCAAAGTTGGGTCAAACCTATCTCACATGCCATGACCTTAACCTTCTTATTGATGGCATCACATGTTTTCACACTGAAGATGGTCTCCTCATCAAAAGGAAGATTTTCAATATGAAACTGATCATCTTGCGTCAAGCCTGCAGAGTGAGGTCATGTATGGCAGTGCAGAACTATATCCCCTACCAAGACTTTAGCTTCACATCAACCTGAGATGTATCTATTTGTTACTTAGAGAGGTGAAATATCTCTGATTGGAATATGCAAGCCAGTTTCTACTGGTCTTTTGGAAAATAATCACATATGGAGGATATTTTCTCCCATAAAAATAATTGATAATGCAACATACTATCCTGATAATTTGCTGTTCTAAGACCCAGCGCTGCAGATGAATAAATTATCTTCCCAATCAAGTCTAATCATCTACTATCCTTGTCTATGGGAGAAGACTGGGCTTTAATTGAATGATCTTGAGGTAACTGCATTATGATGAAATCTGGTGAAAGATGAAAGAACAGGAATTAAGCATCTATTTCTGTACCCTATATATGTGCTCTAAAAGCTTTGGGGCCACAGAAGATGTGACCTTCCATGACTATTGCACTGTCTGGAGCAGAGTAGGGAGGAAGGGATGAATAACTGGCTCTGAGGTCTCAGTGCATACAAAGAAAAGTTATTTAAGTCTTTCTAAAGGCTGCTGCATTTTGAGCCTGCACATATTTATTTGTTTGTTTGGAGTTTTTGTATGCTGTCCCATTCACACAAGCCTCGGGACGGCTTCCAACATAATAAATAAACAGTCATATAAATAATATATATAAAATCCGGATTCACCCTGGCTATAAAAATTAAAAACTAATAAATAATATTAGCAGTTATTAAAATATTGTTTAAATAAAAAGGTCTTGGCCTGGCACCGAAAAACAAATAACGACGGTGCCAGGCGGACCTCTCTGGGGAGCACATTCCATAAGTGGGGCACCACTGCAGAGAAAGCTCTCCTCCAGATACTCACTCTCCTAATGTCTTTCACAGAGGGTTCCTGGAGGAGGGCATCTGCCGCCGATCTCATATGCTGTGCCATATGCAGGACCTGATCAGAACAAAAGCTCCAATGGAGAACTGAGGTGTCAGAGTATCTACCACTGCATTCAGTAGTGATATTGAGGGCACAGCTAAAGAATAGTAATCATCCCCTGCTAAATGTGGAGATACAGGTGGATAAGCCAGTTCTTGTCTAAAGAGCAAGTAAGATGCAGATGATTATGAATTTGAGCAGGACATCATCCGAGGTGGGAAAGACAGTCCAAGAAAGTAGAATTAGGGCCTCAGCAACCTCTCCTGAAGGTAGCCATCCCAATGTTTCTGAGGGGGCTGTATAACACTGCACTGACAGGATTCGACATGATGATGATGTCAGTAGTAAGGCTCATGATCCCACCCTCAGTACTGGTGATGCTGCTCCATGTCAAGACATATGGGAAGCAGATGAGTGCTCAGGTTCACAAGCAGCTCAATCCCTAGTTGGAATAGCATCTCACTCAGACACTGAGCCTTCATCATCAGCTGTTGCATCAATACCAGCCGATGGTTCCTAGGCAGAGATGAACTTGGAAGTGCTGGAGGAAGTGCTGTTATCCCTCTTCCTGTCATTTTTAGGGTTACAAGAGTAGCAGAGGCAAGAGCTGGCTCTCCTATTCCTGAGGATGGAGGAGGCATATCGGGGAAGATTTGCAGTCTCACTGGCTTTTTCAAAGATTCCACTGCCTGTAATGCCTTTTTCTAAAAGTCTGCCTTAGTAGTCAGAATGTTTCTTTTGTGCTTGTTTGGAATAGGCTTGGCAGTGGGGGGTAATCATCCACAGTAAGTCCCTTGCCCAAGCAGAAGACACAGAGGGAGGGGTGGTAACTTACTACTACAGTGGACACTTTCTAAATGTGGCTTTGAAGGCCAAACGTGGAAAAGCAATAGCACAGATTTCAAAAACTAACAAAAACATAAAAATACCAAGTTAGAAAAAGCAATAACAGGTTTGAAAACAGTTGAAATCAATATATACGCCATTGATTTAACAATGCAAATTTAAGTTCAAATGCATATTTTCAATAATAAAGGAAGCTCACATCAAGAAGCAACTACAATAGTAGCTGAAGAGGAACTGTGAGAATGTGCAGAAACACACTGGCGATGTGCAAGCTATGGAGGTGCGGGAGGGGTCCTTCCTAAACTCTTCAGCTATGGAAGTCTGCTGCACTGAAGCACTGTGCAGGCACAGAGACCATATATGTGATGCACCAAGACCACACTTACTTCAACCAGCTAAAGAGGTACAAACCTGAAAAAGTATATAAAAATAAAGTACAGTTCTAATACCTTAAAATACCCATGGATGTACAAATGTTTTCACCTGGCACTGAAAGAGAACAGTGTTGGTGCAAGGCATACCTACAATGCAAGATGGCACCAGAGTGCATCAATGTACAAAATGACACATAGGAACTTGAGGGGGCAGAATGAGAAAATCATCAAGTCCTGTGCCTACCATCTTAGTATCCAATTCAAATCACACACTGTAATGGGGGAAATGATCCTTAAGTATCACAGCTTATCAACAGAGACACAACACATGCGACTAAGTCAAAACCTTTATCAAACATCACTGAATATGGAGTGGACCATAAAATATACAAGGGTGGGGTTTACAGTCATTCAAGCAAGGTTCTTTGCTTGGACAGTAACTTGACAGACAACAAGGTGCCAGGTACAGTATCCCTCATGGAATCAGTTCCATAGTGGGAACAGTTTCACCTATTTTATAATTGTCATGGAATGTACAAGGATAGAGAAGCCAGTAAATTTTGAATCCCATGGAGAAAAAGCCCAGAGCATCCTGGTTACTGCAGCTGGTCCTGGGCTGGTCCTTCCGCCTAATCTGAACAGAACAGAGTGTGGATGAACTCTATAGCTGGATGGTTCCAGTACATGGAGGACAAGGTCATCACAGATAAAACAAGGCCTAATCTTCAGCAGCTGGAACACGTAATTGATGCCCTGGATGCATAGCACACATTTGTGAAGGCCTGAGAGAGAAAAAGGTGTGTTACTATTCTTCCAGTATTCATGTCTTGATCTCCCTGTCCCCCATGGAGGCAGTGGTGGCTGAAATGACTGTGAATACACATACCCCTTCCTTCTGTGACTTGCAGTGGAGTGGGGGTGTGGAACAATTTGCTCTGTTCCTTGCATCTGGGCTACGATCCTACAAGGCAAAAGTGATCATGAGTATTTGTCCAGCAGCTGTAATGATTAAAGAATTTATCAGTATGTAGGGGAATAAGTGCCTCCTCTGCGCAGGAAACACTGTTCCCCTTTTGAGGAAAAGGTTCAGATAAGACACACATAGCAAAGGAATGAAGCATGAAAGACAGTTGTAGCACTTATATTTTATTGGATGTTACCCCCTTTGCTTGCTTACCTGAGTAGGAATGTTGTTCCTGGCATCTCCAATTGTTTAGGAGTGGAATTTAGGTGTGTGTCTCTGGGGTCCAAAGGTAAGGAACCTGTTAGGGTTCTAGGAACAAAAATATTAGCAATGTGCTCAAGTTCCTAGAAGTGTTTGAGAGATAGGTTGTCTTGTGCAAAGTGTTATTTTCCCTAATTTTCCTCATCACCATTCCCTTTGCGAACTTTCAATGCAGCTAACCTGAGGCCAAAGAAGCATTGTCTCATACTGCATGACCTACATATCATCTGAGTTACAGTCTCAGATGCTTATGTGGGTTTATACATTATGTGGGTTTATATCTGGGTGGTGGTGTGCTTAGACTAGATGCTACATTTTAGCATAGATTGGTGTCCGGGCACTGTTGACACAGGCACAGCTTTACAACCCCCCACCCCAACTGAAGTTCATTGGAGGGCTAGTAGAAAGCTGTACTATTGGAAGGACGATGGTGCCTTTGCACACCCCATCCTGTCTAGACCTTCACACCAGTTTGGTAATTCCTCTGCCATATCTTTGCTGGTATATCCAGGCAACTCCATTGACAAATCTTTCATGTCAGCAAGGCACTCCAAATTTCAACAGCACAGCAAGGCTTCTGCTGTATCCTACAAAGACCCTCAGCAAGTATTATCTAAGAACATGGTCCAGCCCTAGTAGAAATGTGTCCTGAGTCTCAGTAATGAATGTGTCTAATACAAGCAGCTCAAAATGTTACAACCACTGACAGTTTATGCTACATCCATGAAGTGAACCACTAATACTTACTTTAGCTCTGGCATTATCTGGCTCAATCCGTAATACTTCCTTCCAATCTTCTGCAGCTGCTTTGAAATTCTGCAGATTGTTATATACAGTGGCACGGCGCATAAGAGCTACAGATTAAGAAGGATATGTTAATTTTTCCATACTATTCTAAATGGTTCAATAAATCTTCACTGAAGTGCATATTCAATCAAGTGAAGAATCTATAATAATTCCGTATTAATTATATAAAAAGCCTAGATACATTGCAAAATGTCTATATAATACACTTTTTAAAAGGCTAGGGCATGATCCTATATCCTCTGCCCCCATTACACATAGACCTCCAGACACAGAGGCTTATAAACACTGTTAAATCAGGTAATTTTGCGGAGCAACACACGTCAAAAGGAGGTACTTGCCCTCCAGATTTCCTCAAAAGGTTTGGGCTCTTTTGCTGTGGTTTAACATGCACAGCCAGAGAGAACAAGAGAGAAGAGAGAATACACAACACTTGTAAGGAAAGTTTATTCATCAGAGAAATGTAGAACAGGCTTTATAAGCTTTTAAGACGATGTTGTCAGATAGCAAATATTCCTATTGCAACCCAATCTTACACCATATTTTTTTAAAGAGATGAAGACCGTCCTGCCTAACATCAAGAACTGGGAGAGGTATCTAACTTTACTTTATTTTCCCTTTTTCTTTACTTGGTCTGAAATGCCAGAAAATGGTGTGCTCAAGAAATATGAGAATTTCCCTCCTTGCTCTTCTTTTTACTGCATGGGAAGAGATCCCACCTGCTAGGACTGCAGGAAGCTGCTCTGGGTAACCAAGGCTACATTTCCTCCTCCTGATTAACAGAAGGGAGCCCTTGCTGCCCACAGTGATTCCCTCTCAGCACTACCACTTCCGAGCTGTAAAAGTTTTTCCTTGCACACTGAAGAAATATGTGAAAATGCCCTTGGTACGAGTATTAACTATACTTTATAATATGTTTTATGTGTTCTTGTATGCTATTGTTTTAAGCTTTGTCTTGTAAGCCACTTGATTAGTAAGTGGTATAAAATGTAATATGTAATAAATAGTTAAATAATACTAAGCAATCTCCTGTGAACAACTCATTTCCCATGATAGTGGGAACATGGAAATAAAATTTGGGATATTGGTGTTAAATGGACATTATTGAAGGTTGAAGAGGGTAGGTTGCTAAAATAGATGACAATCAATACATTATTTATACTGAAGTGGTTTATGCTGCGTACATTCCATTGATTTGTAAAGTCTACCTTTCTTTTCCTTTCATTTTTTCCTTCCTTTCATTTTTACCTTTTATGTTTCCAGGGTCTAAGTTTAAAACAGTTTCACAATCCTGAAGAGCAGCGTGCCAGTTCTGAAGTCTTATTTCTGCTTGAGCTTTGTTATTGTATGAAGCAACAGTGGGGAATGCAGATATGCTCCTGAAAAAGACTACAGGCATTAGGCAGACTGAAATTAATAACACTGACACTTCAATAAAGAGGTTTGTGATGCCTTAAAGGATAACAAGTGTATTGTTACATAAGCTTTCATTGGCCAGATTATATTTTGTCAGATGTTTGAAGGATCTCTCCCTCCCTCCCTCCCTCCCTCCCTCCCTCTCTCAATCTCTCTCTCTCTGGGATGGGCCTACCATTTTGAAAATCAACTTCTCTGTTAGTTCAACAACAACTCAGCAAAAAAAAAAAAAAAGTGACTAAAGTAATACATTAAAAATAATCAACCAGCATTAACTCACCGAACATAATAGGCAATTGCTTCTTTATAATCTCCTGTGACAAATGCTTCATTGCCTTTTTCTCTTTCACGATTAGCAATAAAGTTCTTTTCTTTTGTAGTCATACCTTGAAAATATTTATCACCATCATTATTGTTGCTGTTGATTATTATGATTATTATTTTCATGTTTATACCACCCAGTAGCCAAAGCTCTTTGGGTGGTTTATAACAGTTCCTAGAACAGGACCATGGTACAATAAAACTATAATATTGTTTCAAAATTTAATTTTTTGACAACTGAAAGAATATTGACTATAGAATAAACCTGATTGAAACAGCTGATCTTAGTGTCCCCATCAAATCATTTAGTTATAGCTAGAAATGGGTCTGCATAGAGAACAGCATTAACCCGATGATGAAACAATGACAGAGTTAGCACCAGGTGGGTCTTGGTGGGGGAAGCATATCAGTCAGTGGGGGGCAATCACTGAGGAAGCCTTCTCCTTTGGAGGTGACACTCAGAAGATGGCCTCAGTTGTTGATCATGGTGTCTAGATAGATTTCAGTTGGGAGAGATGTTCCATTGAGTATTGTGGTCCCGAGCCATGTGAGGCTTTATAGTTTAAAACCAGCACCTAGAATTAGGTTCAGAAACATACAAGCTGCCAGTGCAGGTGGGCCAGCATTGGTCTTCTATGTTCAAACCTTTGAGTCTTGGTTATTAATCTGGCTGCTACATTTTGCACAAACTCCAATTGCTGAACAATCTTCAACAGCAGTCTGCATACAGTACATTGTGGTAATTTAACTGAGATTAACGGAGCATAATTTACTAGATCAGATAGGGGTATAGCTGGGCCACCAGCCAAAGCTGGTTGAAGGCATTCCATGGCACTGAAGCCTATCTGAGCATTTAGTGGTGGTGGTGGTGGTGGTGAAAAGTATACAGTGGCACCAGGCACATCTTTCTGGGGAACAAGCTCCATCAACAGGGTGCCATGACTGAAAAGACCCTAATTCTTATACTTCATTCAGGGTTGCTAACTGTGCTATTTCAATATGAATTGGTAAGATAGTAAAATAGTGAGAAATTGTTTCTGAAAAAGGATAATTAGTGAATTTAAAATATGCACACCTAAATATATACAAATACATTCATAATTGTATAGGGCTATCAATTATTATTACTGAAAATAGGGCAATATCCAATGGGCTGCTTATGCTCCCATTGATTCTCTTCTGCCCTGCAGATTCTCATTTTTATCCTGTGAGTCCTGCTGCTTGCAATTTAGCACGTCCTAGAATGAGGATGGTTTCTAGAGCGGAATAGCTTGCTTATGTGAGCTCCATTGACCTGCCCTTTCCAAAAACAAGTGTTTCCACTCATTTGAGGTTGCTCTGGAAGAGCTAAATTTTTATTGTAGAAGTGGTGGAAGGCAGCTTGCACAACAGAATCAATGGAGCCCAATAGAATCAGTGGGGATGTACGCACTGTGTTGGATGCTGCCTAGGAAGTTGCTTTGTGGGGAATATCCAATTGCATTGACACAATTGGTGTAGTGCTATCATAAGCAATCATTAGCATAATTTTCCATAATTTTCCTGGGAAAACCTGTCATGCCATCTTATGCAATTAACACTTTAGCTGAGGTCATTTATACTAGAATTACTTCAGCTTTGTAAGTACATAGGCCCTGTTGGAAACTCTTCTGCGTGTATATCAGAATTCTTATTACACAATGAAAAGCAGCAACAGAAATAATCAGTACTGTACTGAATGACTACTTGCCTGTTGTATCTATCTCCATTTTTGGTAGATTTGTGTTAGTATGACAGCTGGTTTTAGGTTTGTTTTCTTCATTTCCATCAATTTTGGAACATTCTTTTTCCACATCAAAACTAAATTCAAAATCATTACATATATAAAACATACACACACATATACTATAATGCAGATTGACGAAAGGATTGAATTGCGTAAGATGAATCGTTCACCATAACCCCACACTGCCAGCCAATTTAGACTTCACCTGCTCACAATAACAGGCAGCTATCTCTCCCAGTTCTGATATCAGAAATTTTCTTTCAACTATGCCAAGCAATAAATGTGGACCTTAAGGCCACTTCTTATGAGGTTATCTCTTGGTAGCAAAAAGCATGCCCAAAACATTTTAAATGAGGAACAGTTGTTGTTATCCCTGCTGCTGCTGCTGCTGCTGCTACTGCTACATTGCATTTATGCCCTACTTTTCTTTCCCTTGCAAGGTTCTGTCAACAACAGTGAATACAGGTATACTGGGAGTATACAATCACAAAAACATTTACAATTTGTTCTGACATACAGGAAATACATGCAGCGGTAGACAGCCCCCAAAGGGACTATGAAGGGACTGAGTCTGTGCAGGATATTTTTATAACTTATTAGTTATATACATATTTTGGAGAAGGGTGGACGAATTATAGTTTGCTAGAGACACATGAGAGGGTTAGGATTAGGGTCACTTATTTTGTCCTGACTGTATTCAAAGAGGCGTACAAACTTTTCCTCCTCTCCATGTTATCCTCACAACAACCCTGCGAGTTAGGTAAAGCTGAGAATCTGTGTCTGGTCCAGAATCACCAGGTGAATTCCATGGTTGAGGGTAGAGTAGAACTGGGATCTCTTGAGTACCAGTCCAATGCTCTCAACCACTGCAAGCAGCCTGCAGTACAACCAGACATGCGTATGGCACAGAACAATGTTCTAAAACCCTCTGATTTCTGCATGTTTATTTCTACTAAATATGCAGAGCACACCAATACAGAACTTCTTAGAATACTCATTCTATTAATTTTGTGCTGCACTTAACTAGCAACTAGAACACTGCACAGACTGTTAAATTTAAAGTACTTAGTATATTTATTTATACTTCTAAATTGAAAAGCTTTATTAATACTATCATTGGACTCTCAAACTTACTAGATTCATTGAACTCAGTAGGACTTAAATTAGTCATGACTCTTGACTTAAACTTGAACTTTAAGTAAATATTAACATAAAGATAGAATTTCCTTCTTAAAAACTTACATGGCTATTTAATGCATAGATAAATAATTGAATTAGATCATTAATACAAAGAATCTGACATACTTATCCCACTCTCGGTAAGCTCTTGGCACATTTTTCTTCTTTACATGTTTGTTCCTTGGAGTTTTACTCTGCAATGAAGAATCAGAATCAGACAACAGTGAAGGCAAAATTAATTAATTATGTAAATAGAAGACTGGTTGAAGAATTTAATTAAAACTGAAATTCTATTATACTCAGTACAATTAATGAAATGTAAAAGGGAGCTCTTTAAAAAGTCACTGAAGGAAGGAAGGAAGGAAGGAAGAATATGGTGACAGGCAATAAATTCTAAGTCAAAGAAAGCATCTGAATTGAGTAACCCTGTATTTTGAGCATTCTACTACACAAGGCAAACAGTATGACCCATGTATTTGAATATGGATTATGTCAAATTTGTGGACACTAGGGGTGTAAAGCAAAACAGAGATTTGGATGGGTTGCTAAATCATTTCCCTTAAAAAAGTCCTTCTTCCATTGTTCTTTTCCCAGAAGGTTTATTATCTGCTAAAAAAAAATGGCAAGAATATGGTTGTGACCTAAGCAGCAGGAATCCAAGGAGTACTTAAAACCCCTGGGTAAATATTAAGGTCTTCACCTGGTGCTGAAAAGAGCATAAAGAAGTTTCCAGTGAGTTTCTCTAGGGTGCCTCTTCTATAGCAGAGCTTCCACCACAGCAGAGTTTTTTTTCTAAGTGGCTTACCTTGTCTGGCAGGGGATATATAGAGCAGAGCTTCCAAACAGGGTCAGGGTTCAGGTAAGTATATATGGGAAAGGGTGACCTTTCAGGAGCCTAAGCCATTACAACTTAATAGGTTAAAATCAGGACTTCAATTAGGCCTAGAAATGGAATAGGGCCTAGGGCAGCTGGTAGGGCACTGACAGAATATTATGAAAATACCCAGTCCAAGTTAACCTTGCATGTACAATACATGCTATAGTATTGCTCCCAAAGTGCAGATACCTGTGACCAGGTAAGGATACATCACCGGCCAATGCCGAGAAAAAGGAATTTGAGCCACACAAGCTATCCGAGGCTCTAATAACAATGCTGGAGTCCCAGTTTGGTCATCCTGTACATTACTGCATCCAAGCCCTAATTAAGAATGCCCAAAGCCACACTTGCATCTGATGGAAAACAGGGAGGGAGCTAAGCGTCATCTGAGTGCTGATGACACCTTAAGCCAGTTCTCTGGATGAACTTCTCCCAGTGGCTGCAGGTGGATGTAAACAGCATGGCAAAAAATAAATCTTTGTCAAACTCCAAATCACAACTGCTAAAGAGTTCTGTAGAATGATGCTCAAGCAATTCCTCCACACCCAATTCAGAGGTCCTATCCAGAAGAATGTGTTGTTATGTGCCATCAAGTCATTTCCAATTTTCATCTTATGGATGAAAGACCTGCAAAATGACTTGGCATCCAGAAAAATACGATGGATGGCTGTACTGAAAGCCTCTGGGAGGTCCTGGAAAATTAACCAGGTCCCCATCACTCTCCTGCCAAAAGTCTTTCCACAGGGCACCCAGGGTTGTTCTGTCCCAAGCCCAGCCTGTCATTGAATAGATCTGGTAAATCAGTTCTGGGTCCAAATTAAGTTTCTTCAGAAGTTGACAAATTGTTTCCTCTTGATTTGTTCAAATATGACACATCTGATGGGTTCACTGAGTTCAGTTTACAATTACAGTTCTATTCTTCCCAATTTAGCACCAATTACAACTGAAGTCAGGCTTACTCATGAATACAAGTATACAATGCTATGAAGAAAAGCACTGTAAACATAAACTATGGATAAAAAGTAATTAGACAGGGTAAATTCACATTGAAATGAAAGTACACACCTGACCAGTGGAATAACTGCTATCTGAACTACGGACTGGTGGCAAATTTTCCACATTTTCCTTGAATACATCAGTTGTAGCATACTGCATTTTGTATTCATCTTCTTTCATTTCCATAACCCAGCTCTAAAATATGCAGATAAGATCATCACCATATCTCAAATATGTAACCTTAACGTCCCTGTTAAAGATGATTGTTTAAAAAGTATTAATGATCCTCCCCTTCCACCCCCCCCCCGCCACAAATACTGCAGAATACATGTTGAATCCAAAAGGCAAAACAGCCCTATATTTGAATAGCAAACTCTCATTCTATTTTACAACAGTTTTTGAAACTCCTCCAGTTTTTTGACATGCAAGGAGCAGGGAGGGCTGCTGGTCAAAAAATCCAGGTCCAGAACCTCTTGATTCTACAGTACATGTCATTTCATTATATCCTCACCACAAGTCTTTGCAATATTCTGTGTATTTTAGCACTGTCTTTAATCTGTTTTATTCCTATATATTAAGCAAATATTGTATATATATTTTAAATCCACAAGCTTTTAAAAATACATTTTAACATTATTTAATATAAGCTACCTTGAAGGAATATAAAGTCTAACAAGCAAACAGTTCTCCTACATAACTATGGGATAAAAGCTACAAATTAAATGTACTATGATTTTTTTCTTATTATTTTTATACAGCAGTATAAATTAGGAAGGCTAGTGTGTTGAGAGAGAGGTTCCCTCTCACTGAAACCCCATTTTCATCTCCTTCCCCAAGATGAGGTATGCTGCCTGTGAGTGATTTTAATGGAAGAGCATTAGAGAAAAATATTTAAATAACTCTCTCCTCTTGTTTTCTGCTTCAAATTGCAACCTCAGCATCATACTGTGTTTTTAAATGAAAAAGAAGGACACTACATGCAACATTCAGTTACACTGTCTCCCATCCCTTTTATTTCAATGACATACTAGCATTTTTAAAATTGTTATTTAATGGTCCAAATGATGATGTAGCGCAAGCTCTGCAAGTGCATTGCAGCTGCAAGGAACTTCAAGGTAAATTGAAATGCAATAACCAATTGTAAGCATTTGTGTCAATGAAAATAAGATTTGAGAAACGCATTATTCAGAAAGCACACAAGTCAAGATGTACTGAAGAAACGTTTATGAGAATTATATTAAAAGGAAGAAAAATTACTACAAGTTAGACTACTTATGAAGGGAATCTCCATCTGCTGAAAGACGCAAGTACAGCAGAAAACTCTCTAAACAAGTGCAAAGTGTACAGGTGGGGGAAAAGAAGATTCAGCAAGACATAGATGGGGCCCTAAATAACTATTTAACACCACAGAATGAAACTATACAATACCTTCACTTCATTATTTATTTTTTCCCATTCCTCAGCAGTAAAATCAGAAACTGTGGCTGTAGTTTTCTCTCTTCTCAGAGCTCTGCTATTTGGAGCCAAAGTTTCAATGCGTTTTTCACAAAATAATACAAGATCAGGATAAAAGCCCTCCTCACCAGACCTTCAAACAAACAGATGACCTTAGTATGTAGCATTCCCTATACATTTATACATATCAGTATTTCTAATTTTATAGCCGAAATAGTAATACTGGCACACCTTCTTAATTTTCTCCTCCTCATTTTTTTAATCTACTGAATCAAAAATATAAATTTAGTCCTGTAACTATGCATAATGGAAAGATACAATAAACTTCATTGCACTTTCAACATACAAATACCCCCTATGGAATTTCCACTGCAAATCATTACCATAAATCAATCAATGCTTAAAAATATATTGCGCTCTTTTCATGTCTTTTAAGCTCCATCTCCTTTCAGTTCCTTCATTCCACAGGAAAAAAGACACAGAGAGCCCAGAGGACAAAATCCAGTGATCCCCCACCTCCGCTGCATGCAAGTCTTGAAACTTGGAAGCTTATGTGCATCTGATGCACAAAATGAGGTGCAGCAGGAATCATCATGTATTTTCTCTAGACAGGCATTTTCCACCATCGAGATTAAGCACTGTGAAGGGGGAAGGAAAAAGGCTGGGGTGGTGAAAGGAATAAGTGTAAGCCACTTGGCCTGGCCCACTCCCTCTCCCCACCGCAGCCCCCAGCACATCCTCTCCAAGGCCCAGCTGTGACTTCAAGTTCTTTCTGCACTGGCTGTGAGGGCGGCCAGCGCAAGGGGCTCAGCCTTCAAGTCCCAACTCCAGGGTTCTAGGACCTTAGAGCTGTGGCTCCGAATAATGCTATGCCCCCCACACAGCATCAAAAGGTCATAGGATTTCTCCTTAAACCTGCTTAATAAATATATTACCTTACACGTTTTTCATTTTAGAATCCAGACATTTTCAAATGCACATTTTCTACAACCTATGTTATCATTATATTTAAAAAACAAGGCTACACATTTTTGCATTAGCTTTAACTGAAATTGTCATCACTTACATCAGTTCAAACCATCTACAAAATAAGTGATATTGTTAGCTTCCAGACCAAGATCACCAAGGATTACCATTGTCAATACTATATTAAAACAGTTAAAATTATCAAAGAAATATCATTTAAATGTTTACCTTAATATCTTGAGAATCTTTTCCAAATATTTAACATCGGTACATGTTTCAATGAATTTATAGTCCAGATGTTCAATAGGAATGTGATATGTTTTTGTTGTGCCTTGGCTCCACAAAAATGACTCTTGCTCAGTGCTCATAGCTAGAAATATACAAGATGGACTTTTCACTATTTTTTCCCAGTGTTATTGAGGGATAGATTGAAATTGTTCAAGCTTTTTCATTCATGTGCATACCAAACTCTGATTTTTAAAATTAATTTTAACTACTTCTGTACCATGACACTCCAGGATTTCAAAGCCATTTACATAAAGTACATACAGTAAATCTAAAAATAGCATACAATAATAAATACTTTAAAATTGCAATCACAGCACCAAAGCAGAGCAGAGTCATGACTGATGACTAGTCAGGAAAAGTCTGGGAAAACAAACACATTTTCAAGAGGTATCTGAAGCTTACCACAATTTCCACCTTTTAATCTGCTCATAGGGCAGTGATCATGGACAGGATGGGTGCCACTGCCAAGAAGACCTATTTGCATGCTATTACCTGACAGTTGCTCATGGAATGACGTAATAAGGACACCTTAAAACATCTCAGGAGTTTAATTGATGTACACAGAAATTTGATTGGGAGAGGGTGTCACATTCTTCATTACTATCCTGTCTTGAAGGATGATCAAGGTCAGTGTTAAAGAATCCATGAAATGCAAAATAACATATGTTGGGTTGCACAGATCAGGTGTCTTGTCCACATCCTCAGTTTTCATAAAAACTGAAATGGAATCCACCACTGGGCACCTTCACAGCTAGTATATCAAAAGTGGCATTCAAATTAGCATGCAGGTAAGCAATTTTATTCTGAAAGCGACAAACTGATCACAGTGAACATCCAAAAGCTCAACGTGCCACAATTTACCCCAGCCCAGGAAGTTCTGCATTTTTTTAACCTGAATTTGCTTCTGATTTGGTAGACTCCAGTATAGTTGTGGGAAGTTAGCAGCCATGCTCATCTCTGTCCAACTTCTCAGCTAATTATAGGTGAAGAAAGAGTAGGATTGGAAAGAGTGAAACATTTTATCAAAAGTAGCTGCAACCAAATGTGGCCTTATTATTTGAGAAGGCTTTAAGGAATCAAGCACGAGGGGGAGATGGCTGTTTAAGGATGTGTTTCTGTTTATAAAATCAACTCAAAAGGACAGAGCAAAAACACATTACCCACATGCACAAGTGATGACAAACCATGCTGGGAATGGCACAAGCATGGCTTGTACCTATGTGTGAAGTCGGCATCTATGGTGAAACATGGAATGTTTGGTTTCCATGAAACCATGTAGAAAAGCAAGAGTTTGTTGCGAGGTTTCCACACTTCACCATGGGTTATTGTTATGTGTGACCCAAGTTACAGTGTTTCCATGTGGTTTCCACATTTCTGCCAGCAGGTTTGCTGGCAAGAGCAGCTGCAGCAAATGCCCCAGCCCCCATTTTTCACTGCCTTGTTCCGCGTAGCAACTGCTGAGGCAGCTACAGCAACACTGCGATTGCCTCTCCACTCCACTTTTCTCCTCTGTCCACACACGGCCTTCCCAATGCCCAGCTGCAGCTCTGGACTATCAACAGCAGCAGGGTTTCGTGTCATACCATCTCCAGCAGCAGTGACTGTGGAGGCAGCCACTCTTAACAGTCCTGTCTGGTCATGGCACTTTTCTGGAGCGGTGCTTTGAAATGTCTCTATGTTTGTTCTACTTGGGGATCCTGCGCTCTCCTCTTGTGAAGAGGAGCACACAAGAGCATGTATATCATCGTCAGGGCAATTGCCCTGAGAAGCCCAAGTCTCCAGCTCTCTATTCCACCTTCCCAGCTGCTCCTATCTTGTCCCTGACATTTCTGGAGGCTGTCAACAAGCACTACTGCCCCCCGCCCCCACCCCAGCTGTGGAACAAATACATTACTGGAAGCCAGTTGGAAAACTTTCCTAGGCAGATACCCACATGTGCACCTTCTGGAAACATTTTTCTAGCAGCTCTCATTCCCTCAGTCCATGGCATGGCCTACCCACACAGATACCCTCTGGTGCCTGGGTACACGGGGAGGCAGCTGCTAGCAGCACGTGTCAGTCCTGCACATGGAGAGGATGGACACATGTGCAGCAAGAAAGAGTGGAGAGCTGGATGTGTGTGTACATGGATGGGTTGCTTACATGTTGCCACAGAGTGTGGCAACAGTGGGGAGCGTTCCTGCACTGCTCCCCTAGAGCACCAGTGCTACCCTAGTGAGGATGGAGTTGCTTTGCAGAGCTGCAGAAAACAAAACAGAAAAAGGCAGCTGGCTGAGGTCAGGCCCAGGGGAGAGTATGAGACCGGCAGACTACACAGACAGGAGTGGTGCACAGCGGAATTGGTTATGAGCCAAGAGGGCTGGTGGGACATGTGCTGCCATCTGAAGGGAAGATGGAGAAGCATGGAAACCATGTGTATGTGCGAACCTAGGACACCATGCTGGGACACCAAGTGAGATACCATAACTGTAGCACAATAACTGTGTGGCACTGCTTATCGTTACATGTGAAAATAACCAATGCTTGTTTCTGGGTTATATTCAGTTATCAGAACAGATTTTACTGAGTTTAGAAACCATGCCTATGTTTATAAATTGATAAATAAACAAACAAAGAAGGAAGCTTTGCCCATGTCATTATCTTTTATTGCCTAAAACTCTTCCTCATCTGCAATTGTTTTTCTTTGCTAAATACTTTCTGCTAGGTCTCTTCATCCCATAACATGAAAGCTCCCAGCAGGCAACTAGGAATAGGTGACACTGAAGAATTCAGTCTGCTTGTGGATCCAAGAACTGAAAGCAGAGCAAGTGGCAGGGGGTTGCAGCTTCTGCTTTTAAAGTTAGCAATGATTTGATTTTTCCTGAAAGGTAGGGTAATTTTATACAATACAGTCACTGTGTGTGTGTGTGGGGGGGGGGGGGAAGAGAGAGAGAGAGAGAGAACCATGTAAAATACAGCTGCATTTGTGTAGATGGAAGCCACATTTTATGTAATTTATTTATGCAACTTGCAAGTGCTAGTTTGTTTTATTTAACCTTTGTGTCAAGGTTTTAAAAAACTGTACCTTCAGAGTGTTGACTACCTCCTGTACATCTAGTAGTGGCAATGGCAATTCAATCCAATTCAATTTCATGTTGAAACAGAACAAAATATGGAAAAGTCAAAGTGTGTAGAGGACGGGGCAATCTTTTTGCAGAGCACTGCAAATGCTGTGACTTCTGAAGTGTGGCCTATGTCACCTGATTTATTTAGCTTAGATGTTGATAAAGTGTAAGAACATGATATATCGTCTCCTACTGCTTTTCATTGCTGAGGTTTAAACAAATATGGAATGGTTCTTTTGCTTAATTTCAGTGAGCGTTTTGTTTTAAATGTCATCCTGGCTCTAAGCCCCTGGAGAATTAGAATTTTTAAAATGCTTACTTACTCTTTGGCTATCTAATTATGAACACTAACATATACACTGACAAATAGTGGAGCATAACTGAAGGGCTGCATGTTCTGGTCACTCTCTGTATCTCATCACTTCCAGCACTCTCCTCTGGTTGGGAGTTTCTTGCTAATTACCTCTTTCCATTGACAGCCCTAAGAAGAGTGGAGCTCTCCACTCACGGGACAAATGCATATGCCTAATGGCACACAGTGGACATCTGGATCTGGCTTTTCATTGTTAACCGCTAATGTGTAGGCACATATTAAGAAAATATCTGTTATGAAAAACTGTAGAAACTTCTGAAATAACAAATATGAACATTGTTGTATTTCTAATTAATTTCCCTTTAATTAATTTCCCTTTATACAGATGTATTTTTAATTTCAGCTGCAATAAAAATGATAAACATCTTCATTTTTCTTCACTTATAATTACATTGGGGCCTACTGATTCCCATAATAGGTCTTTGTATGTAAGCATTCAATTTTGTAACAAACCCAGCATTTTGTAACACATTTTGCTTTAACAGATACAATTTTGTTAAAGAGGAAAGCTATTTTTCTAAAGAATCATCCCAGTGTCGCTTTTAAAGGAATAGCAGCAACACTTTCAACATTAGCAACTGTTGCTATGTACACTGCCTAGAGATAAACAGAGCTATCAGGAGACACTGGGGTAGAGATCAGGCCCTGCCTTTACATAGCTTCACAGACTCAGGACCGCTGGCCTCCCTTTCTTTCTTCAGTGTGTGCTACACAACATCCAAAATAATAGACGTCCACACGGCTCCAACTTCAGCCTGAGTGCCTCAAAGCAATCTCCATACTTTGTTCATTTAACCCAGAGACCCCTGAAAATGTCCCCTCCTAGCCTGAATGCATTCACATCCTTTGCTTCTGTTTTCCGTGTTCATCTTCATTTCCTCCTACAGATATGTGTAATATAGCTAGGGGTGTGTGTATATGCGTGTGCATAAGTATAGTCTACTCCCAAATTAATATACTGCTGATATTGTTGTACTTAAGACTTGGGAGAGCTGGATTCAAATCATCATGACGCTTGCTGGGGGACTTAAGTAACTGCAACCTGTCCTACTTCATACAGTTGCTGGGAGGATAAAAAAGGAAGTAGGGCAGAAGAGGGACACGCTCTGCCCTGAATTCTACAAGGAAAAGTTGGATAAACAAATTGCCATAAGAATATAAAATATACCACCAGCCAAGCACCAAGAGAAAATTGGTATAAGATGTATTTGCAGTGGTATATCGTTCCAAAAGATACACAGAAAATGGATAAGAATTATTGTGAAAAATGTTGGAAATGTAAGGAAATAGATGGGACTTTTTACCATGGGTGGTGGACATGTATGTTTCCAATTTTTAAAATTTTTATCGCATGTGGAAATGCAGAAAATTCTCAAAATTAATTTCCCCACGAATGCTAAGAATATGTAACTAGGTATTATACCAGAGATTCTTCCAAAGACTATGCTAGAGTTAAATATATGATAATAGTGGCAAGAGTTACAATGGCAACAAAATAGAAAGCAGAAGTTTGTCCAACTACTAAAGACTGGAAAATAAGCTAGCTGAATACGCAGAAATGGGAAAATCAACTCATTATATAAATAGAAGACTGCCAGAGAATGTAACGAGTAGGGTCCCTTTTTCAAACTTCAGTGGGATACCGTTTTGTTCTGGAGATCAAAATCAAGGGCTCTACCTTGAGACAGTGCTGCCAAGCGCCATAACAGTACTATGAGGGCGCGATCCTACGTTTGGGTGGCGGGGCGTGGGGGGAGCGCCCAACAACTATCAGCATTTTCCAACCAGCACAGAAGTTGCAGGTCTACTTTTTTCCAGGCTAAACATGCCCCCGACGACTTTAGGTGGCAATATACGAAACTAAGCTTGGAAGCGGGCGCGGGGGTGGAGCGCACAAGTCCCCAAATGCATTCCTTGCTCAGGGAATTTACTCTTTACTCCAGACGCTCACCACAAAGCCTCCATTCCTGGTTCTTCTCATCCCCAGCCCTCTCCCCCATGGCCACAGCATCCCTGCAACAGACGAGTGGGGGGGGGGGGGCACACACCTGCTTTCTTCCTAGGTGGAGGTATCGCCACCGCTCTGCCCCTTTTTACAGGAGACGAAGCATCACGCGCTTGGCCCCCTCACCGCCCGAAGCGCGTTTAAGCGGCCACCGGCGAAGACGCGCATAAACAGCAAGATCTTTACGGAGCGCTGGCAGCGGCTGCTAGGAGCCCCTTTCGGACCCCGAGCGCATGCGCGGAGGGCAGTCCCTCCCTCCCCACGCCTCCGAGGCCGTTGAGAACGAGCGCCGCGGTCGCCAGGACGACACGGCCTCGCCGCCGCCGCCGCCGCCGCCGCCGCGGAAGGAAGCGGCATCTGGAGCTGCAGGATGCGGACAGAGCCGGAGCTCCCCCTCCCCATCCATACTTTAAAATGTTATAAAGCGTATTACCTTGCAGAAGTCGGTTTTATTTAACTTGTGTTTTTTTTTTTTAATCCCGCCTCTAGCTTGAGAAGGAAGAGAACCGATTAGCAAAGAAAACTGCAAATAAACTGAAAGCAGCTAAAGCCAAGAGCATCATCAGCACATTCGGAATAAAAAGCCTGACCCTAGTACTCGCTAGTAAACTCAAAGGCAAACAAATGAAAACTATATGAAAATAGGAGGGAAAGAGAAGGCGATCACGACTTCCCATCTATCTGCTTGCTGAAAGCTGAAGAGCTCATGGATGTAGGGCAGTGTAAACTGGCAGAGGAGAGTGAGCAGGACAGAGTGCCACTCCGGCACGTCTGGACAGCACTAAAAAGGGGAAGGCTACCCTGGAGCTTCTCAGCTCTTGCATGCTTGGGACAGCGGCAGGCAAGGCACGCTGGGGCAAGTTCTTGAGTTCCCTAAGCGCCACAGGACACAGAAGGGCAATGCGAAAATTTTATAAAAACACTCCACACTTTTGAGCTATATCCAATAAAGGAGATGCAAAATAAGGAAGCAAACCATGGGAAGAATTGGGCCATTATGTTATTTTTGGGGAAAGTTATGTTATTTTTAGGACTGGGAATTTCTCTTCTAGAAATATTAGTTATAGCACCTGCAATGCTGTTTAACCTTGTCAGTGATTTACATATTGTGAACAGGTTTTATATTTTGGTTGTGAAAGTTCCAATTTTTAAGCAGAGGAGAAAATATATTTACATTTCTAGCTTGCCTTTCATCTCCAAAGCTCAAAGCAACTTCTATACCTTCCCACACACATCAAAACTGCATATCCAGTGTCCTTCAGTGAGCTTCAAGGCTGAATAAGGACTTCATTTCCCTAGTCAAAATCTGATACAGTATCCGTGCCGGCTCTCCAGTAAACTCTCCCTCCACCCCAAACCACCAGAGAATTAGGAAACATGTAACAAATTTAGCTTTACTAGAAGTAGCCTTCTTAATTAAACACACTGCACAAATACATTAGAAATTTTTTAAAACATCTGCTCAAAATTTTACTGGAAAAATGTCAGCAAAGTACTGGAGTACAACTTTATTGCAATGACTGAATAAATTACACTATTAGAATGGGAAAAAAAACGTATTTTCCCATAACGAAAGACAACATATGAAGAATTTACAATAAACTGAAGTAAACTAGATGCATATTCTGGTTCCTTCACCGGGCATCAAATACAACCACTATAATAAGAGTTAAAGAAAACAGTTCAAAAAAATGAGGAAAAATGCATAATTAATATAGTTAATTATGTTATAATTATGTATATATTCGACATATTTTAACAACAAACCACAGAGTCAGCAGGTATAGCACTGCATATAAAACCAGACTAGCACAGGGCTAATTAAGCCCTCTTTTCTTCCCAGCTTGCCCCATAGTATAAAGCCAATGGAAGACTTATCTATTGCCCTGCTCCAAAGGAGACCCAGCTCCCAGTTAAGGAGTGGGAGGGAAGGACAAAGAGTTGAGCCCTATATTGATCTTCTCTAATAGGAATCCTGCTGTTGCATCTGCAGAAGAATGACTCTGGCCTATATATTTTGCAGAAATGCACAGGAAGCAAAATATGCATGAATGCACATCATCTTATAAACAGTCTCTACTTTGATTTGCAACTTTCACGTCTCCCTCTGTAGTTAGAAGCTCATCTTGCATTTTAATGCTACTGGATGGAATGGTATTTACTTATCCATGAATGTATTTTAGTGCAATTTTAAGCCTTATCTCCTCAGAAATCCCACTGAATGTAGTGGGGGCTAATTCCCAAGCAAGTGAGCAAAGCAGTGCAAATCTGGGATCAAACTATGTCTCACCAATTGCAAGAGTTACACATGCTGAACATTTCTCTATATCAAATCCAGTATATACACACCAGTGTAATGCATAGAACACAACCATTTTATAACACTATAATTAATTTGCCTCATATGAACAAATTTTGTAGTCGATCCTAAACACCAATTAATACGTTCAACTTACAATATGAATAAACTGTTCAGTTTTTGTATTTGTGGCAGTAAAAGGGGAGCATCTGAACGTTTTTCTCTGCTGGAAGCTTTGTTTAGTAAATTATAGGCATGAACTAGCATATAAGCATGGATGAAACTGTAAACAGTTGCACCAGAATAAAATCACCTAATGGCACTACAAGCACACTAACACTGTAATCTTGTACATGCCTGTTAAGAAATAAATCTCACTAAGTTTAATGGAACTTACTCCCAGGTAAGTATGCATAGGAATACAGCCTAGTAGAATATTAAAGCACAGGAGGCTAGAACCAACATGTAAAATTCAAACAAAAAAGAGGCCCATGTAGAAGGATACATCTTTTAGTTCTCTTTTTGTACATGATTCTGTAACCACACTCTCTGCATCTGATAGGATCCCTTGCTTTTATTTCATTCTCTGTGTGACATTCTGGAAGGAAGAAATATAAAGGAAAATGAGAAGACAGAATAAAGTCATGGCAAAATAAAGAACAGTCATATAAGACTATGACTGTAACATTAAACATAATATATGTTTTTAATGGAGTGAACTGAGTTTGGCTGATTGTCTAATTCCTCTAGTCAAGCAATAGTACAATTTACTAAAACAATAGTACAATTTTACAGGCACTAGAGAGCATCTAGTCATAGAGTTTTGAGATTCCCTGCCATGAGGTTGAAAATTAGCGTTAACCTTATAGTTGAGGATTTGTGTTCATATCCACCTTCCCCATCACAGTTTAGAAGAAAGTGCATCAGCTGCAAGAACAACCTCAAAGAATAACTTCTGGGGGCATTCCAGGGGGTGGCAAGGAGACAGGCATCAACAAGATGCCTATATCCTGGCAGCACCTTAGCTTCCTTTGTCAAAGCACCATATTTAGACAGCTAAAATCACCATATTTAGACTGAAATCAGCAGTTTAAATGCTTTGCAAGGTATCAAAAGTATGGAGGCAACATTTACCTCTGCACTCCTCCTGTCCTCTCTAGGATGCCTGGAATCCTCCCAGTTAAATTGTGCCCAAATCTTTTCCTTATATTTTAACAATCCAGTTTCATTGCTCTTGGAATGGAATCCAAGCTCACCATGTACTTGTTTAATATTTTCATCCCACACTCTTTTACTGTATTACTGATACTATAAACAGCTTACATTTATAAAATGAAATGGTTACACTAACAACCACAAACTCAAAACAAAATACAACACAAAATTGGCTCCACTGGAGCACATGCTAGCAGTGCAAATGTGAGAGGGAGTAAGCAAAGTGGTGTTCATGAGCAGCAATCTTTACTGCTGCTCAACAGTTAGAATAATGGGAAAATCTTACTGGCAGCTGAGACAGTTTTCAAACAAAGTAAAAGTCATTTACTGCCAGTTCCATTTCCCATGTATAATCCCAGATCACATGTGGAACTCAACTACATTTTTAGGAAATGGAGATAGCATGCACCGAGTAAAAGGAGAAAAATAGGAAAAGGGAACTATTGCCACTTCTGTCTACTAAACTGTTGTGGGGGCAAAGTAGGGAATAGAGAGACCAGTAGTAAACCATCTGGGAGATTCAGAAAAACCAAGAGGGAGGATAGGATGAGTGGTGGATCATTGCTGGGCCTGAGGAGCCAAGTGGAAACAAGCTGTGGGAGTGGACAAGGTTGTATACTTATGTCTAAATGAATGGTGGAGCAAGTATATGAGAAAGGGAGACAAAGGATTTAGGGTGATTTTGCAGCAATCTCAGAAAAGGGTAACTGTAGTTCTGTGTATGCCTGAAGTCAGAAAAAGGGAAGAGGTGTATATGCATAAGTGTATACACAACATGGGGTGTTTACTTGTATGTCAATGGGAATGGATGGAAATATGGGTGCATATGTGTGTGAGAGAGAAATTCTAAGGGTGATAAGCTAGGGTGAGAGAGAAAAAGAGGAAGAAGTGGGGGAGGAGGAAAGAAACAGACTTTTAGCATTTATGAAATAGATTTCTGTCAATGCTGAAAAGTGTGGGTTCAAAAGAGGCACTTAGTGTCTTGGGGTTCAGGCATACCTCTGCTTTGTACCCAGCCTTTTAGGCAGGTTACTTCTCCATTGTGACTAGGCATGCCCTCCAAGGCAGCCATTTTGTGATGGTGTCTGGGACAGTTTCTCAAATTACCAAATGAGTCCCAAAAGGTTACCTACACTCAGGGTAGTCTTTGATGTTCTTTCCCACATGGCAAGTGGCACTATATTCATGAGGGTGCAGAAAGTACTAGAAATGGAAACGCAGGAGATACCTAGTGCTCCCTTTTTCTTTTCTCCCCTGCTCTTTCCTACATGGAAGTTGATGGGATTTGGCCTTGTTGTGGGGAGAGGAGAACCCAGCTGAAGCAGGAACAGGCACTTGTTATCGTCATCATCTGTCTTCTTCAGTCTTAAACTCAGATAATTCTAAGGGTTTTTTTAAATTCCAAGATGCATTGTGAATGTGAATAGAATTCCTACTTTATAATCACTCTACAATGATAAACTCAACAAGACTTACATAATTCACCCCTATTAAGGGACACGCGTTGCACTTACTTCCACAGATGTATATCATAGGTTGCTGCTTTGGTGGGGGTGCATCATTCTGAGTGTCCATATTCTGCCAGTAAAAGAAAGCTGGAACGTTTACATCTTAAACATAGATGATCCCTTCACTGATTTATTAAGAGTATTTTAGTATATGAAGAAACCATCACAGAAAGAGGAACGTTTACTCTGCCGCAGCACGTGATTCGGTGGAAAGTTAACATAAATTGACTTTCCAATGCAAGCTCAAAAGAATTCCGAAAGGAAGGAGCTGACGCTTTAAGGAAGATGCAACACAGCAGTTCCCATCCCCTCACTCAATCCTCCGGGGTTCATCTATAAAGTTTCACACCGGAAGGAGAGAGAAAAATATAAAACGTGCTGCAGATTTTGAGGAAACGTGATGCATGCAAATCCCTGTCCGAAAACAAGTTAATTAGGAAGAAGGTATAAAGTAAGTCCAAGAACTTACCAGCTCGTGTCTCCCATGCACAATCCTACGGCGCGGACGAGTGACGTAATCAAAAGCCTACCAGCGCTCCATTCAAGCTCCACCTCACTACTTCCGCAATGTGAGAAAAGGCTCACTGCATAGGAGGGTAAACGTATTTGCTTCCTGTCGCTACATTAAACGGAGAGGTTGTAATTAAGCACTGCTCTTTCCTAAACATTCTAACTACTGAATAATTATTAGCTTGGAGAAAATAAGAACATTTACTTTCAGTGAACAAAGAAATCATAAAATAATGTAGAAGCCACTAGTATTTTGTTCAGCAAATGTTTGTTCAAATATTTACTTCACCATTTTCCGATATTATTTCACAAACATTTTATTTTTCCTTAGGCTCTGCTGGTTTAGAAGAGATAAAAACAACATAAAGGTTTGACTAAAAGCAAGCAAGCAAATAGAATTAATCTGGGAAGGCATCACAGAAGAGATACATCTTAACTCCCTTTTGAAGACTGCCATTCAGGATATCTGACATCTATCAGACTATTCCATGGTTTTAGCATTTTCCCCATGTTTACATTTTGTTGTAACAGATATCTCACTCAAAATTATTTCCAGAGGGTTAGCTATATTTAATCTATTGCAGCATAAAGTAGCGTGTTTTTGGTGTGCAAAGCCTTTGTTCTCAATAAGTTAAGAATTTTGAAAATCAGTACACTATGCCATCAAACCTATATAATATGGTTCCAAAGCAAGACAGTATTGTGCGAGCCAAAACGTTTACTGACTGTCTTCAAGTTTCAGAACAGAAGGCACTGAAAGTCATTTATTTCATTTTTAACTTTTGTTCTCACAAATGTCACCAAGTTGAAAACCAATAATCTGTAATTCATTAAAAACTACACAAACTACATCAACAAAAATGCTAAACTACATCAATTAAAGTATCAAAACAAAGGAAATAAGCAGTTAAAATTTACAGCAAAGTTTTCAAAAACAGGCTATAATCCTATACATACTTGCTTATCTATAAGCCTAATTAAATTCAAGGGAGCCTGCCTCAGACAACAGTCATCTGAATAAGACCAAAAAAGGCCTATGTAGACCAAAATTGCCATTTCCACAGTAGCCCCTTAGAAGGCTATATGAAGGCCACATGCATGAATACAGTAGAATGAGGCTCCAGGATCTAACTTATACTGAGAGGCCTATTGCCTCTGATACTCAAAGTAGTACATAGCCATTGTCTCTAGTACCTGTGAATATTATTATTATAACATTTCTATGCCGCCCCTTGCCGAAGCCTCGGGGCGGCTTACAACACAATAAAATACATTGAAATACAATAGAACATAATAAATTACCATTAAATACAAAAATACAAAAAATACACTGAGTTACGAACATAGTAATATAAAATTATCAGTATAAAATAAGTAAATAAATAATATAGGAGGAGAAAAGAGAAGGAAGAAGAAAGTTGCCCTGGCCAGATCATATATTTTAACAATTAAAATATGTTTAAATAAAAAGGTCTTTACCTGGCGCCGAAAAACCAGTAACGACGGTGCCAGGCGGACCTCTTTGGGGAGTGAATTCCATAGGTTGGGCGCCACCGCAGAGAAAGCCCTCCTCCGAGTACTTACTCTCCTAATTTCTTTCATGGAGGGTTCCCGGAGAAGGGACTCTCCCGTAGATCTCAAAGGGCGGTCGGGCATATATGGACGTAAGCGCTCATTCAGGTAGCCAGGACCCAAGCCGTTTAGGGCTTTATAGGTCATAATCAACACCTTGAATTGGGCCCGGGCTTCAATGGGAAGCCAGTGAAGCTGACGGAGGACTGGAGTCATGTGAGCATAACGCCCCGTCCCCGTCAGCAACCTGGCAGCTCTATTTTGCACCAATTGAAGTGTTTGGACCGTCTTCAGGGGAAGCCCCACGTAAAGCGCATTACAGAAGTCTAGGCGGGAAGTCACCAGCGCGTGTGTCACTGTCGCCAGGCAGTCGTACTCCAGGTAGGGGCGCAGCTGATTAATCAGCCGAAGCTGAAGGAAGGCGCTCCTCGCCACCGCTGTCACCTGAGCTTCCAAAGAAAGCTCTGGGTCGAATGAAAGTGTTCTGAAATATCCTGTCCTTGACTGCCCTGTTTAGCTCTTGTAAGGCTGTGTCTTCCTTTTTGGAACTGAGTCATTCTGTATTTATTTCTTATTTATTAAAACATTTCTATGCTGCCCCTTGCCGAAGCCTTGGGGCGGCTTACAACACAATAAAATACAATAAAATACAAAAATAATATAAAATTAACAATATAAAATAAATAACAATATAAAAGAAGTCGCCCTGGCCGGATAAATAAGCAAATATTGTTAACAATTAAAATGATGTTTAAATAAAAAGGTCTTCACCTGGCGCCGAAAAACAACGACGGCACCAGGCAGACCTCTCTGGGGAGTGCATTCCATAGATTGGGCGCCACTGCAGAGAAAGCCCTCCTCCGAGTACTTACCCTCCTAATATCCTTCACAGAGGGTTCCCGGAGAAGGGCCTCTCCTGCAGATCTCAAGGGGCGGCCGGGCATATATGGATGTAAGCGCTCCTTCGGGTAACCAGTACCCAAGCCGTTTAGGGCTTTATAGGTCATTTATATAGTTTTCCTGTTCTTTTGCCTTCAACTTCCCTAGCAATAGGACAATGGGATTGCTTGAATAAATAATAGATTAGTTGCTATTAAGACTGTGATGCTGTACACAATTACCGGAGAATTAACTCAGTTGAACATAGTGAGGCTAATTTCAGAGCAGGCATACACAGACTTGGGATGTCTTTAACAGTGTAATCCTACCCTGCCAGTCAAGCTTGCTGGGGACTGCTGGGACTTGTAGGACATTTTTCTGTTTTAACATGCATAAGATATACCTTAAGCAACCTATCACAGTAACACTACTCATACTGTGCATTTGTATAGTACTTTAGAATATCCAAAGCACTTCACACATCTTAGTTTACAAGGTTTGTAAGCCTGTTCAAGATTACCCACATAAAGAAGGGGCCCAAGGATTGCCTGAAAAAGCCTAAATTCAAAGCTGTGAGAGGGTTTGAGCCACGTACTTCCTGTTTCAATCTTAACACCACTTCTCTTTGCAGTGGTCAAAGGCTGACTTTTTCTTGTCCCTCAGTGTAGATAAGTGGGAATTCTAATCCACTATAGTGAAGATGACTGTAGCATTGGGGTCAGCACCTTAATTCGTCGCCTTATTAACAGGACATAGACTCTGTTATTGTACAGAACAAAAAGAAAACTGAGGAAAGACCCCGTCTCTGTTTTGGAAGGGCGCAGAAAAAAACGCGTAGTAAAACCGGCCGCTTGGGACAGGAAGGAGAATGAAAAAACTGACAAAAGAAGTTTTAATTCGTCCCGCATTATAACACCAACATCATGCATTTTGGGTGAAACCCCTTCAAGAAGAGGACTCCTCAATAATCAGCTCCTTGCCTAGTCCGGCAAAGAAATATGCTTCCTTCTTTTGCGAAGCACAACTACAGCCACGTCCTCCTCCATATCTCATTCCCTTAGGCTTTGTTCTTGCGCTTTGCGTTGGCCAGGACTCCTCGCTGAGCACGCAGCACTAAAGAAGAAGCGGCAGCAGTTGGGAAAGGCGGGTAGTTCAAAACTGAGCGAGGGAAACCACGCGGACGGCCGGTGCAGGAGCTCGCGGCGGCTCCTCCTCGGTTGGGCAACGCTTTGGGGGTGAGGCAAGCGAGCCGAAAGGTGCTTTGCTGCTGCTCCTTCCATAGGCAGAAAGCGCTGCTCCTACTCCGCTCTTTCCCACAGTTCTGGTGACGAATGCAACCTTGCTCCCTTTTTAAAGCCCCCTTTAATCACCTTTCCGGTCTACCCCACTCCTTTGCTCTGAATCTGGGGCAAGACGCTCTCACCGTCCTCGTTAACTTGCGGGAGGACTTGCGGAATATGACAGAGCTTCTTGCCCCTTGCTCAGAGTGAAGACAGCTGTCTGAGAACTGCTTCTGTCACGGCTGTTTTAGACAGGTTACTAGTCAATGAGAGAATGGATAGAGTGTACTTAATGAGTTCGGACGCTAAATTGTTTATTTGACCGTACTTTGCCTCTGCATTAATTTTTTGGAATAAGTAGTTATAAGTTAGAGTTGGGGGATTGTTATCTCCAACTTTCCTCCTCCATTCCAACTTTAACTATAAAGAAAACAATGTGAAGAAACGTCTGTCCTCCAAAGTAACTAGGTAAGTAGGGTCGTTGCCTGTTCTGATAGTGGAGATTTCAGGAAGCCAGCATCCTCCAAATCAGTACTGCAGCAGCTCACTTAACATTACTTGTACGTGTCTGAGTAGTTCTGGATACAATCCTATAAGGAGTAAATGCCAGTGCAAGGAATGGGACTTTTTAGCAGACATGTATAAGAGTTCATCGCTAGTACTGAATCTGCAATGAAGGTTTGGGGGTGAAGATAATTAGCTATTTATATTTGGGAATTCTACTTTTATAATACTCTTGTTTAAATTGAAAAAATATAATTGAAGACAGCTCTTCAGCTTTATACAAAGCACTTTAAAAGTCCATTATAGGGAAAAGATCAAACGCTGCATTGGCAGGTTTATTTTTAGGTAAAAATCATATGTTTCTTGTTATCTTGCATTAATTTGCAGGCTTTCTAAATACAGTATTTTAAGGAAAGCCTCAGCTATTGGGTGATTAAAAAATGAAATAAATAATATCCATTAAATACTAGTTCCATCACAGCCTTTCACTTCTTCAAATAGCACAGATATACTATTTGTTACTTAGAACACTCTCATCCAAGCATGTAACAAAGGTGAAAATTGGCAAAGTTATGTCTTACTAATAGGTGATAATGATTTCCTGTTTGTTCCTGATGGTTGATAATCACCAGGTTGCCTTTGAACACTGTGATTTGTTTAGCTTTTCTGAATACAGCTTCTATCTATTTTTAAAAAGCCATCAAGGGTTACCAGGTCCAAACCAGAGAGCCTTCACCTGTTAATACTCACCAGTGAATGGGAGGAGACATAGAACTACTTGTCTTGCCTACTCCTGTGCAGCTGATTAGGAGTCTTCACTACTACAAAGAGAAAGGAGATGGAGAAAGACAGGGAAGGGCTAGTAGGGGAAAGCCATGCCACAATTAGTCTTCTAATTCAGTGACAGGTTTAAAACTATAGATCGTTTCCAAGCAGTGATCTTACAACCATAAAGCTGTATCTGCAATTGGCTGTAGAAATAACTGTGGCATTTAATTCTCTAAGTTAACTTACAGATTGTTTGATGCACATTTATTTGCTTTGTAGTAAGTTCAGAACAATCAGCTTCATGAGACGATATTGAGTTCTGCCTTGAGAGTGTGAATAACTTCTCTAGGTACTTTATCTATGCTCTTTCAATCATCTTTAAGTTGAAAACCTAACTGCCATTCTTTGCAAGGAAGACATTAACAATTACAGTTGTTCTTTGGATAGCTATTTTAATGTATTGGCAGTAAAAGTGATCAAAGTCTTGTAGCAACTTAAAGACACACAAATTTGATATGGTATAAACATTCATGCAGTAGAGTCTTTCACTAAATTAATGAAAATGCATGCTAATTTAGCTGCACAACCACATAGTGAGTACTATTGTGAGCAATAGGGTTTACTCCTTTCTTTGTAAGCCATCCAGAGACTTTTAGTAATAGGAGGACATAGAAAAACTTTAAATAAATAAATAAAGTGCATGTAGGATTGTTGTTGTTACACTGCATTTATCTCCTACATTTTTAATTCTTGTGAAGAACTGAAGGCAGCTTACATAGCTTTATTTTATCTTCATAAAAACAACCCTGCGAAGTAGTCGTTAAACTGAGACTGAGTGACTGGCTTTCATGAATGACTGAGCTTCATGAATGAATGGGGACTAGAACCTGGATCTCCCAGGTCCCTGTTCCAGTACTCAAGCCACTATGCTACACAAAGACAGGGGGACCAAAACTTCACATGCATTATTTTAAATGGGAATATTTAAAATACATTTAAAAGGAAGTATAATTCCCGCCTCTTTTTGGCTGCCAGTCTTGTCCACTGTACAGGCATATTATTTTCTTTGTTATAGTCCCCTATTTTCAGTTCTAAATTTTGAAATTCCTTAGAAGCTGCAGTCATACAAATTCTGGTACACACAAATCAACTTATTGCAGTATTTTACTTGTATTTCAGACAGAATTTTGAGGGGTTTGCTCCATGTGCTGTCAGTGATGAGGTAGAATTGTTTTCATTACTATTATCTACTTTTAGAAATTCATGGTTTCAAAAAAATCATTGTTAACATAATGAAGAAACACAATAGAAGTAAAAATGGGCAATTGGAGTAGGTATAATGCTATGCAAATCTAAAATCCATTTTGTTATTAGCTTTTTAATTAAGAACTGCATATATTTTTCAGGTAAAATCAGTATTAACAGTTTTCAGTCCCGTTATTTTTTACACTATCTATTGTGTTCACTGGAACTTATTTCCAGAGAAGAGAGTATAAGATAATCATCAGAGTTGTCATATTTTAAAAACATTTAGAACTATTCTGGTGAATAATGTCCAAGTAAAGCTTTTAATTAGTCTGAATACAGCATTTCAACATACTGGGTAGCAATTCTAAACACACTTGCCTGAGAGTTAGCCCTTTGAAATCAGTGGGACTTTTGAATATATATGTGAATGATTGTGCTACTACATGTATCCTTTATTTATTCACCATCTAATCAAATATTTCAGTTCAGTTCCATTTGCTGTTAGAAAATTCTACAGCTGATGATTGCTGTTAAATGTTTCAGGACCTCAGCATCCTAGGTGATGCTAGATACCCGTGGAGTACTAATTTTAACTGCAGTCTCCTTGTGAATCCATCAGGATAAGTAAGCAGTTCTTGAAGAGCAATGGCAAATGCTGGCCATTTTTTAAAAGCACCATTTGCTGCACGTCGAACTAGTTTTAAAATCTAATGCAGTTTCAAAAGTAAGGTAAACAGGCCTTTGAAAGAGCACAGTGGATTACTCTAAGCTATCAAGACAATTTCAACTAATAATTTAAATCAAATTTCCTGTTCTGAAATTCAAATTACCTAAACAATATGCTTACTAATGGTTAGCAACTAAACACATATTAATTTGCAACTAAACACAACCTTTATATGACCTAGGAGCATTGCTGGAAACCTTATGTCAAGCATCTCTCATGTATGTTTTGTTGGGTTACTATTTCCTTTCAAAGAACTCAGGGTGGCTTATATAATTCTCCCTCTCTGCTCAATCATATTCTCACAACAACAACCCTGTGAGCTCCGTGGATGAGTGGGGACTAAAACCTGGATCTTCTGAGTCCCAGTCCCATACACTTAGTCACTATGCCACACCAAGCTCCTTTTGTGCCTATGTTCTCCATAATTATCTGCTTAGTGATAAGATTGATATCTGTATGTCTGCAGGAATACTAAACAAGATAACCAAATAAAGGGTAAGGCCTTAGTCCTATGCACTTATTTGGGAGTTAGACCCATTGTACAAGTATCTAATACACATGAACATGATTGGGCTGTAAACATCTATAACTTTTCAGAAGCAGAATTGTGTGTTTACTGTTCAAAATAGCTTTTCTCCATGAGATGGAAGCTAAATATTTATGCTGCTTGATAGAGGTATATATATTCTTAAACTACAATCCTATGAATGAAGTACATTTTTCAGTCTAAGCCTGTATAAGATTGTGTCCTGAGATAACAAGACGAAATTTCCTCTATGCTGATATTTATGATGATTTTCTATTCCCTGAACATTGTAGAAAGTACTTTGTCATTTTAATGCTTACATTCAAATATATAAGCTTTCTTTTACAAAGAAAAGGTTTTCTTTTCAATGGTAATGCAACATTCAGTTCAATAGGTGGTAATTTCAAAGTCTTCTAATTTTCCTGTGGGACATTTACTCTGACATGTTTTATCAGCCTCTGATTTGCCTCTTGAAAATATAAACAGGCATTGAAAGAACCCAGGAGTAGCTTTCCAGAATGACTGATAACATTGCTTTGGGTATAAACCAAAACAGCTGAGGACCGTAAGCTGCCCACCACATATTAAACTATAATATTGATGAATGTGTAATGTTGTGATAGTAACTGCATTGTAAGTGATGCAAGATGCATTTTATTAGGAATATAGTGAAATATTTTCCATAGTACTTTATAACAGGCACATAATGATGATCACTGTGGTGATTGGATGATCTCTCTCTGATTAAAGAACTTTCTATAAATATCATGTTGGTTACGCAGGGACCCCGGATTTCTAAATTAAATCTAGTGATGATTTTAATTACAGTTGTAAAATGCTCTTTTCATTTTACAGAGCATCACCAGTTCCAAGTACAAGATGTCAGAAAGCAACTCGATTTTATCAAATATTTTTAAAAGAGGTAGACTGACCTGTTCTGGCAACAGTGCAAGATACTGCAGCTTTAAAGATTCCTGCTCTCCTTCTATATTTCATGACAGTGGATACAATGAATCATTAAAAGAGCCAAGCTTTGATAATACTGACAAAGGACATAGAGAAGAATATGATGAAAGAGGCTGGCTTGAGCAGTCTAAACATTCACATTCAAGTAGTTTGTGTACTTCAGTTTTGTCTCCCATTGAACATAAAAACAATGTTACTCTTTTATCAGAAAGAAATGAAAGCAATCTACATACAAAATATTTTGAAACACCCAAAGTTGCTAAAAAAGACTTGTCACTCCGTAGAAAATTGCTTATGTCTAAAGCAGCTTCTGTTGGTGCTTTGGGGTGCTCTGACAGACAAGTATCTTCAGGAAACAGCCGGAAAAAAACATGTTTATTTCACTGTTTTAGTTTTGATGAAAGAATTTCAAAATGTACCTTGGATTCTTCAAGAGGAAAGAGCTATAAGCCTTTGGCTACCAGTACTTTAAAAAGTGAAGAATCTATGTCTGGTTGTCAGAAACTGAGGCTTGTGTTCTCCCAGCAGAGGACCTCTACAATAGATGATTCAAAGTCTAAAAGCAGCTTAATGTCAGAATCTGCTTGTTTATCTCCCATCCAGCCTACATCTTCTACAAACACACTTAACAGTTTCATTGACAGTGGCCTTACTAGTTATAATGATCAAAGCACTTGCCCAGAGTTAATCAAAGCTCCCCATTGCACTTTGTTTAAAACGGATGATGATCCATTTGTTACACCCATCAATAGTCTTATAAAAGGAATTAACCTTAACATAGCTGAAATAAATACACCTCCAGCTAAAGAAATAAGCAACTTGAGCCTATTAACTCCTGACAGCAGCAGCAGCTATAATTCACTTGGCTTTGATAAATCAGAAGAGTCTTTTTCAGATCATGAGGGGTCTTTCCAAGAACTGTATCAAAAACATAATGAATCATTCAGCAGTCTGAATTCTAAAAGAAATGTAAGAAAACTACAGCGCTCAAGAAGATTATCCACTCTTTTGGAACGTGGCTCACAATCAGAAAAGGAGGAAGACTATGATACTACTGCTAATTCAAAATGCAAACCAAAAATAGCAGCTCATGCTATCAATGAAGAGAGTGAATTGGTGTTTGTTGAGGATGACAGTAAATGCATGGCTCCATATCTTGGGAACCTATCCCGAACTCCTGCTTTGCAATTAATGCAAGAGCTTCTCATGCAAAGCAGAAGTAAAAGAACAGAGGGAAATGGCCTGTTGGAGAATATTGATGGAACTGACATGTCTGTGCTAAAATGTATTGTTGCTCACCTCATTGGCAGAAAAATGGGCATTGAAAAACTAGATATATTAACTGAATTAAGAGATCGTGACTTAAAACATGTTCTTACCATGATTTTAGATGTCCTAACTGTGGAAAGCCTATGCAGGTAAGAAGCAACTTGGAAGACCATAAAGTTTCATTAGATATTCATCTAGTGATGCTATTGAACTGTAACCAAATGAAATAATATCTACCAATACCAAATATCTTCTGAGTGGTTGTGCTTATGTAGCTGAATTGGCACTCTCCATGCAGAAAACAGAGGTTCAGATCAGTCAACTCCCAGTTTGTAGAACTACCAACAATATTTAGGAAAAATGGAATGGGGAATAAGTAGTGGAAAGCTATGTCCAATAGGCATTGGAATGCTGCCCAACAGAAATATTCCATGCTACAAGATTATTATTATTTTGCAAAGCCACTTACCTACTTCTACTTTTCTATCTGCATGCTCTTTTTTATTATGCCATGTTTTAGACTCTAATTAGGTTTTGGGAATTTGACATAGAATGACTACTTGGGCTACTTTACTGCTTCTTCATTAAGACCCCCAGTGCAGTTCAGTTTCACCAGTCAAAGAGCTTTCTGGGAACAAAGTAGACACATCTACCAAATTCATGCGTGCAGTTTTAATAGCAGCTGATAACAGTTCTTTGTTTCAGTATGTGGACTGTAAGCAAAAACTGGCAAGAAATTCTTGTACAAGATAAACATGCAAATCGGAGGAGGAAACTGTACATAAAACAGCTGAGAGCAGAAGTTAAGGTAACATACAATTGCATAGGCATTTTAAGGGGGTGTTGATGGGGAGATATGATGGTTAAACCAAAAGAAACCATCAATAATAGGAAGCTTCAGCCAATGCATTTGCCATGAGATTGAAATTAAAAGGCAGTATCTTGGGAATCCAGCCATCTGCACTTACTTTTAAATTCTTGGTATTTCAACAGGATCCTTTTAAAGAGTTTTGTTTGTTTGTGTGTCTATTTCTTTAGATTAAATCTTATCCTTCCATAGTTCTACTTGTCCCATCCTGCATACATCTTTATTTCCTGAAATGATTTTCAGACTGCACTAAAGTGAACCTTGGAAAGCTTTTCTGAAATACAGCATGACCATCATTTAATTTCTTCTTAGTATGTTGGCAAAAAAGAGTGTACTGTGTGTATCTAGGGCATTCAGATAGCTGATGTGGGGTAACTTGAAAGCCAAAGGGCCTGTTTGGCCAGTGCCCTCTATATACTTAGTAGATACTATAAAGCATGGTTCAGAATTCTATGCATCATGCTGGGGGATTCATAACCAATGATTGAACATGGAAAGCCTTCTCAGTAAGTAGGTAGTTTGAAAACCAATGCATTATTGAAGTATGATGTTTTAAGGAAGTTCTGTATATGTAAATAATGTGTTATAGTTTATCTAACCTATAACTTAGATCTTCTGTTAAAAGGCATGACTAGGATAAAATGATAAACTGTGAATTACATTTATTCTTGTAATGTAACAATTGGAAGTGTTTGGTAATTTTTACAGGGATGCATACCAGATGCAGAAGATGCTGCCACTAGATTTATGATGACAAGACTTGCACTACGACCTGTCCAGGCTCAAGCAAAATCTGCCATATCACAAATGGAGTCATCTTGTAATGCATTTTTGACACCTCTGGGATGCAGTCCAATTCTTCAATCAAATAGCAAGCTGAAAGCATATATAAAGGTAGGCAACTGCAATCAGTTGTTAAAACAACAACAACAACAGTGAATACAATTGCACTGTAGAGCACTTCAAACAAACATCATGTGTGTGCATGTGTAAGAGAGAGACCTTTTGGCAATGCACGTTATGTAAGAGGAGGTAATATAAGTGAGGACTGTTGCAGAAAGTGTCAGGAAAACTGATAGGCCATAGGCTTTACCAGTTTCTTGCTCTTGTATGTTATCAGCTATGATACAACATTGATTATTCTCATTTAATATATTTCTGTTCTAAAAAATCAGTTGAAACAATGGCTTACTTTGGAGATAGCTAATTTACTACTTCATGCTGCCCAAGCACTGCCTAGTTTCTCCTGCAAGTGGGAGTGGATAAAAAATCATGGACGTCTGTCCTTGGTTTGATTATCATTCTGTGTGACAAGACAAGCCAGAGCCATAAGCCAACAACAGACTATGCTGCAGAAGGAGCCAGGCATAAGTCATTAGGCAGCATGTGTTAGCCCACAGCTTGAGTAGCACAGGCCAGGATTCCAGGGGAACAAGCCCTCTTGAACAAACCCATTCTCTTACAACTCACTAAAGTAAGTATAATGTAGGCATGAGACAACTAGTAGCCTGATCAAAATGTCTGTGTGACTAAATCCTAAATGTTACCTGCTTTATGGTGTAGGTTGCCCAAACTCTCTTCAGTGATGAAGCTTTAAAACCATGTCCAAGGTGTCAGTATCCTGCAAAATACCAGTCCTTCACAAAACGTGGAGTTTGTAGCCGGGAAGACTGTGCTTTTGACTTCTGCCTTTTATGTCTATGTGCCTTCCATGGATCAAGAGACTGTAGCAGTTCAGCTACAAAATGGCAAAACAGAAAAGATGCTCTGCCAGGAAGCAAGACAAGCAAGAGCAAAAGCAAGAGAAACTTAAAACGCCTCTAAAAGTCTTGGAGTGAATAGAACTTATTTTCCTTCCCCCTCAATTCTCTTTTTTATATAAGTAGCTTTTTTAATAATGATGTAATTTGGAAAGTAGTATAATTTTGACCATTAATCAAGGTGACAATTTAATTCTCTGTATAAATATCCTAAACTTTTGATACATTTTTGAAAAAAGTGAAAAGTTTTAAACTTTTTTTGTCTCGATGTTTTGTCACTTTGCCAGACATAATGAGATTTCAATAAAGTACTTTCAACATAGTTTTCAGTATGTCTTCAAATCTTGTTTTGGAATTTTAAATAAGATCTTATCACACTGACAAAATATAAAGAATTAAATAATCGTGCTACCTGTTCATATATTTAATAAAATATTTCTAAACAACACATGTTTTATGCGAATACATATGATGTAAGTCAAGTTTATTTATTGAATCCATAGATCATCATGATCCTCCTGCCCTGTAAATCAGCTAGATGGCCAATTTTAACCATTTAGCTGCAGCACTTAAGACAAGGAAGGGGTTGGAATCTCCATTCCCCAGAATGCTCTGTTTATGCCTCTTCCAAGGTCAGTCTCATGACCTTGGAGAAGCAATGGCTTGGTTCTTTCTGCACCAGCACGCTCGCTCGCACTCGCTCTCTCTCTCTCTCTCTCTTGTGTGCTTGCTGTGTTTGTGTGTGTGTGTGTGTAGTGGGGATACTCTAAGGTTGGATCCCCAGCTCTGAGGCTGAAACTCTCTTCCATGCTTGGATCTGGGAATATGAAAAATCCTATGGGCCTAGACACAATCTAGGGGACATAGGAATGCTCTGTATGATTTTCTAAGCTATATGGAAATTAAAAGATAAGACAGTCATTGCTTCCAGGTTTTCAATCTAAAAGACAGTACAAAAGGAGAAGGATGTAAATTCAAATACTAATTCTTTTGGCAGTACTGATTTGGACACATGGGCCTCTCCACAACCCAGCAACCCATAGTGCTTTGACTTATCATGGTACTGGGGCAGAATCCCCTGGTTTCTAACAGAATACAATTGATGGAATACACACAAGGCAATCTGGAAGACATGCATATATACATCAAAGCAGTTTAAACAAAATATAATTTCTCCTACAAAATGACTTTTTTCCTAAGCTGTGTTTATAACAAATGAACCTCATAGCAAGAAAAAAATACTGATGGACTATACACATTTATTGAAAATCCAAAAACTTAAGCTTTTGGAGTAATGAATTTATCCTGATGAGATAGATGGTATGTAATATAATGGACTATATTCTCAATAGCATTCTATCCACAGATATGAAGACTACAATATACTGGTGTGCTTGAATATCTGCTATATAGGGATATTCTCTGCAATGATTGAAAGCAAAGTTATGAAGGCTTTCTTTAATGGATGGAACATTAAATGGCTGAAATAAATGCAAGAGGTTAAGTCGGGTTTAATACAATAGTACAACTTAGCCAATTGTGCTATAAATAGCAGGTTGAAAATTATATAAATACATTTTCCATGTATTTTTCCTTACTACTAATTGTGAGGATGTACCCTCCTCCCACACAAGTTAATTTAGGAAGAAAGTAACCATGGCTAATTTGCTCTGTCTTTCTCATGAATTGATGCAGAGTTATTCCAACAGGGTGATTTTGCAGGGGTTGCCTGTCATCCACCATATTATACAATGTTAACCAGATGTCATGAATTTCAACTTTAATACATGGAAAACCTATTTTTACACATGGAAAACTATTTTTACTGGTTACTGTGAATGAATATGCACAGAACAGAATGGATATTTTCAGTGGTGATGGGGGCAGAGAAGCTTCTGAATTCCAGCTCAGAATGCACCCAATGAGCTACTGGAAAAGTGGAAAGGACAAGTATGAATATTGCTATCGCTAATGACACTAGATCAAAGCTGAAGGCAGTCTGTTGGCTGACACACAGTTTTTTGGGTTGTTTTCCTTATTTATTGGCACTTTCTTGTTAGGGTTTAGATGATGCAGCCTCTGCAGCCTAGCATAGTACTATTGGCATCCTATCTACTCCAGGTACTTTGTTCCTTCCAAACACTTTCAGAGCAGCTTTCCCTTCACATTCTAATATAGCAGGCTGTTCCACATAGGATTCCTGTGAAGGGATTTGTCATGCTCACGTGCCTTCTGCATAGTTCTTCCACACATTTTCTCCCATCATCTCTTTATTTTCTCCTGGTCAGATAGTGTGTTCCCCTGTTTGTCATTTGCCATTCCTACTCTAGTTTTGAATTTCCTTTTCATTTCTTGGATATTCTGGAAGTGGTCTCTTGTTTTTTCCACTTTTGTTGTTCTCCTTTCTTTGTGCTGACCATTGTAACAGTTCTTTTTATTTCTATGTGATAGTCACTGAAAAGTTTCATTCTGACCCTATTTCTGACCCAGTATTCTGACCCTATTTCTGTTACCTTTTGCTTGTTTTTGCCTGTCCATAGCAATTGTGTTTCTTCTGTCATCCATCTAGGCTTTTTATTGTTTTTGGCTTCAGCAATTGTCTTTTGGCATTCTTTCTTAATAATGTCTCTGGATTCAGTCCACAGTGCTTCTGGCTCCCATTCCGTTGAGTAATGCAAATCTGTACTTTATATGGACTTTAAATTGCTCAGCGATTTTGGCACTACGTTCCTGTTAGTGATTTTTTTTCAGCTTTACTCTGACTTTTGATATTAAGTGTTCATGGTTACTACTGGAGTTGCTCCTGGTCTTGTTTTGGCAGTAAGAATACAGCATTTCCATCTCCTGCTTCTAATTGCCTTTGTTGTTCTGATGTACCATCAAGTTGTCTTCTGCCCATGGCAACCCTATGAATGAAAGCCCTCCAAAATGTCCGGTCCATGACAGCCCCATTCAGCTCTTCCAAGTTCAAAGCTGTGGCTTCCTTTATGGATTCAATCCAACTCATATTTGGTCTTCCCTTTTGTTGTCTGCCTTCAACTTTCCCTAAATGTCTTTTTCAATGAGCCTTGCCTTGTAGAGATGTGTCCGAAGTATGAGAGCCTCAGTTTTTGTCATTTTTGCTTCCAGGGAAAACTCTGACTTGATCTAGGACCTACCTGTTTGTCTTTCTGTTGGTCCAGGTTATTCACAAAGTTCTCCAGCACCATGTTTCAAAATCATCAATTTTCTTTTTGTCACCTTTCTTCACTGTGCAGCTGTCACACTCCAGCTTTGGAATCCAGTTTAGACAGCCTGCATTTCTTCTTCCATATAGGGTGGTATTCTTCATTGCAACATTTTGAGCATCACTTTGCTTGTGTGGGAGATGCAAGGGTGCTATTGTTGCTGTACTCTTTTAGCCTTGCCTTTCTTGGTGACTGGAATATATATTGCTTCTGAGTTTGTCCTTTCCATATTAAAGCACTTTGTCTGATTAAAAATGTCCCATTCCAGTTCACTTTAATTCACTCACGCCAAGTACCGTGATGCTATTTCCTACTTTATGGTTTCCAGTTTGCCTTTTTAAAAATTAATTTTGTTTTAATAACAGTAAAATCTACAAAGAAGAGAGAGAAAAAGAAAAAAAAGAATATACATAAAAGTTACAAAAAAGAAACCAACAAGGGTTCTTAAACAAAAGTTACTTAGAATATAAAATATTTAAGGAAATGAAAGATTGCTGTAAATCAGCAATTACTATCCTTTCCTCACAATCACATTTTTGCACTTAATTACATTTTATTATAGCTTCTTCTAATCTCATGCAATTTTCTCAGAACTCCTAATCCATTTTACCTATATTATCCATTGTTATAATCCCCATTAAAAATAAGTTGCATATAATACAATTTCCACTTATCATTTTCTTTGGCTGGTTGTCTTTCTACATAGTTAGTTGGCCTTACCATGGTTTCCAATTTGCCTTGATTCATACTTCTCACATTCTGTGTTTTAATGTGTTGTGCAGCATCAGACTTTCTTTTTACCTCTGTGCATGTCAACTACTAGATTTTCTCACAGCTTTGATCTAATTGTGTTATTAGTGACAGTGCTATTTGCACTTATCCTTTGCTCTTCTACAATAACTGGCTGAGTTCCTTCCAACCTGGGAGTCTCACCTTTTGGCACTATCTCTTCTTTCATTTTGGAATGTCTCATTACAGGGGTTTTCTAAGTAAAAAGATTCAGAAGTGGTCTACCATTGCCACCTTCTGTGCAATACAAGCCAGTGTTAGTTTGAGTGTTATTGCTGTTGTCTGCAAAAAATTCTCTGCCAGTGTTGCCTTTAGCCACTGCTGCTGACCTGTAGCTGCCCTTCAGAAGTTTATTTGCCCCCATCACCATTAGAGATATTCATTCTGTTCTGCTGATGTGACTGTTACTTCTGAAAAGGGTGACTACATTTGTCTGGTGTCTCTTCTTTTATCATTCTGCCTTGGGTGATCTTGCTTGGAGACTGAACCAGTGAGAGAGTCTGGCCTCCTTGCTCTTGGCTTCTCTGACACTCTCAAAACCCCATCACCACATTAAGGTGTGCATCCAAGGGTCCCCCCAACCCAAGAGTTCGACTTATCTCCATTCTGTTATTTCTTATCAGAGATAACAGCAGAGATGATCTGCATGCTGCTCAGATGAGCAATGTGCAGGAGAATCCCAGGATGCAGTTTTGTTGATCTTGGCTGGCAATGGGAGGAGCTGCTCTTCTTAGTACCAGCTGAGTCCTTTTGCATACTGTGCACTGCATGTAGTCAAGTACCCGCCTGTGTTGTGCCTTCCCTGACTGGGGAGGACATAGCACAAGCAAAGCGTCCCTTAACAAGGCAGTAGCTAGAACCCCCAAATGAAGGAGGCTGCTGGAATAAATCCAACCTAACAAAATAATTTTCAAGGATCTTACTATTTTCTGTCATTGAAAGTTACAGGCATCTCCTATACTAAAAACTAGCAGATGCAATTCATTACTTGGACAGTTTTCTGTATTCTTTTCTTTCCCTGTTGGCAAAGAAGAAGAAAAAAGACTACAGATTCTTAAGGCCTTTCAGTTTCCTGGAC